TAAACTATTTTTTAACATTCCTTACCTAATCATTAAAAAGAATTTATGGATTTTATTTCAATTATATTACACTAAAATCTCCTTTACTCTTTCTTCTTTCGTGTTTTCAAGGTTTGCTTCTTATATTTTTTTTTTCATTGGGCCTCGCTCACATGACCTCCTCCGGCGTGCATAGATATCATTCATGAAAAAGAATGAACATGAACAACAAAATTTTGATCAGTTTTTTTTATGCTTCACAAATATTTTTTTTTAACAAAAAAACAGAATATCGGACAATCCTTTATCCGTTCTTGATCACTAACATCTACTATTGGTCTTTGTAAATGTTAAGCATATGCTAAGTTATTCATGAACATTTTCGATTTTCCAGCACGTTGGCGCAGGTGCAGAAAATATTTGAAATAAAAACAAAAAAGAGTAAAGCATTTCCAGTGTTTTACTTCACCGCTCGAACAAAAGCATAACTCTCAACCAATTAACAGCTAGTTGTGTTGCATATTTTATAATCCTGGTCACCAAATAGAAGATCAATGACTGTTATAAAAAATTTTGCATGGATATTCTCACATTAATATCAAAAGGCGTCTGAAATCGGAAAGAGAGGAGAGTGAGTTCGGACGCTGCTTAAATTATTGTATTTGACTTTCATTAACCATTATTCGAAATAATTAAGCATGGTTATGATGACAATATTTTATATTACAATTAGTAAATATCTTTAAATTTTAAGCTAGATTTTTTAAAATACCTTTTCAGTCTCTGTCTATATTTCTGAGATGAGGTATTATATAAACTATTTACATTATTCGGACTATTGTCCTCATCTTTGTCGCCATATTTATTACAATTAAAGAATAACAATGGCTTCTCAAGACGTATTTTCTGGCATCAATACTCAGTTGTGTGTTTTTCGTAAATTGTTAATAATAAGTCCATTTTTTGCAAATATTGACGAGTAGCGAAATAGCTCAACAATTATTTCATTTAATGGCAGGCTTACGTCTTGAAAGCTACTAAAATTAAATGTATCTCCCCTTTAAAAATGTCATTTTTTAAAATGCATATATCTATACTATTTACATTATTCGGATTATTGTCCTCGTCTTTGTCGCCATATTCATTACAACGTTTCGGCCGTTGTACGCTCCGGCCTTCTTCAGGTAGTTGGAATGTCGAACTGAATCCTTTATTTCGCTCACTGGGGTAGACTGTTCTAGTTCCACGTGCCATGTGTAATGGATGTCAGTTACCAAAGAAAAGCGATAATAACATCAAAAATTGAAATATGAGCTCTGGTAAAAGCATTGATGATAACAGCAAAAATTGCAATATGAGCACTGGTAAAAAAAAGGTTGCTGAAGACATTACGTTTATAATACCCAGAGATTCATACGCATGGCACAGGACACATGGCACAGTGGTTTAAGGCGTTAGTTAGATCCAGTGACAGGGCCCAAAGTGTGTGAGTTCAATACCCGGTTAAGGCAGTGGAGAACTTGGAGAGGTGAATTAACAGGGGAATTGGCATCCATTAAACATAGCACGTGGAACTAGAACAGTCTACCTTAGTGAGCGAAATAAAGGGCCCAGTTCGACATTCCAACCACATGAAGCAGGCCGGAGCGTACAACGGCCGAAACGTTGTAATAAATATGGAAATGAGGACAATAGTCCGAATTATGTAAATAGTGAACATTTTAAGTCGTGCATAATTTCGGAAAAATAAATCGATTATACGATATCTAAGGAAACCTGAATATTTTTAACAATGCGTTTTAAAATCAATTTACCTCAAGTCTAAATGCAGGTCATTTTCTGTCTTCAAACTTACCATCAATTGTATGATAACCATAAAAGTGTCCATATAACGATTTTCCAAGTGAAATTATATCTGAGTTTTGTTACATACTGTTGAGTTTATTTCCGAAATAGCATATGCAACTTCGAAATTGAATAAATCATACATTGTGTTTTAAATGTTTTTGAGAAAATAAATACATCAGAGCTAATAAAAATTACGAGAATAATAGCGTCCGAATAGCAATGTAAGGCAAAACAAGAAAATGTCTAGCGTCTTATAAAATCGAAATTCTTTACACTTATCTCGGAAATTGGTAAGCAATCGATACCAGAAAATATTCTATTTTAGCTTCAATATTTTACTTGTATTTTTTCCTGCTAAATTTGATTAGAAAAGTCACTCTTAAACCAAATCTTTTCTTTTTTTACCATTCTTATTGCCTCAAAACATATCTTTGCCGTTCTGTAAGGCAAGTCAGGACCAAAGAAATGCCTGAATGTGAGTATTTCATCTTCACCCGTATTTAACACGGACTTGTTTATGAACACACTGACAGAGTCACTCCGATTTGAATAAAACACGAAAGAAAAAAGGAAAATCGAAATTGCAGATGATAAAACAGCAGGAATTTTCTCGTTCACCTAAGACTTACACATCCTTATATATTCCAATATATTAATGAAAATATATGAAGCAAGAGTTATCAAACTGATATCGCTCGAGAAACGTATGACGCATATTCAGCAACTGAAGCACAGACTGTTTTTGTTAACTTGATTAAACTTTGCCTTTTGTGGTCAGTTGCAATTATTTTCACAGATCAGCTGAATAATTACATTGACAATATTAGCATTTGAAATGGAAACAATCCGCAAAATTTTAATTGAGTTTTATTAATAATGCCATTGGCATAAAGACAACGAAGAATCCATTGCAAGATGGCGTGTTATCAGAAAATAAATAGAAATTTACTGGATTTCAATCCAGTGAATGTGTATTTATTTTCTGATAATAAATCTGGAATGGAATTAATAGAAAAAATTCAAATTCTTTATCAAAATTTCAAGTAAACATTTTCTTGTCTATGTTCGAGTGCCTAAACCAATCGTACGTTCTGTTTGCTCTGAGGATTTGCTGCCGTTAAAGTGATAATTGGTAGCTGATTTAAGAATTACGCGTTACTGTTACTTAATGTTATGTCTTTATTGTCTTGAATGAAGAGAATACAATCAAGAAGTTGTATGTCACTTGGAGTCGACGTAGTCTTGCTAAAATAGATAGTAAGCAGGTAAGCTAGATCTCTAATTCTCTACTTGTTTAATCCTTGTATTTATTGTAGAAAAGTGTGCATAAGTCAAGTGGACAAAATTGTGAATGGCGTGTTATCTCGGAAATTGGTAAGGAATCGATGCCAGAAAATATTCTATTTTAGCTTCAATATTTTACTTGTATTTTTTCCTGATAAATTTCATTAGAAAAGTCACTCTTAAACCAAATCTTTGCTTTTTTTGTCATTCTTATTGCCTCGGGATATATTTTGGCCGTTCTGTAAGACAAGTCATGACCAAAGAAATGCCTGAATGTTAGTATTTCATCTTCACCCCTATTTATTTAACATGGACTTGTTTATGAACACACTGACAGAATCACTCCAATTTAAATAAAACACGAACGAAAAAGACAAAACCGAAATAGAAGATGATAAAACAGCAGTTATTCTCTCGTGTCTCTACAACGATCTGGCATCACTCATCTGGCTCGTCTTGGGGAAAGCACTCTGGATCGGCAAACGTCTCTGTTCAGCGAGGCTACCAGTTACGCCAAAGTTTGTGAGTTGAGGTGGACCAGTTATGTCCCTGGGGCACTGCAACTTTCACTGTAATGTAAAGGCTGGTCTTCACTTGTCTTATCGTTAAGCTAGCTAGCCTCATTTACTGGAACAATCGTTCGTACATTATTCCTTTCACCAAAACATCCCACCCACACAACACTGCCATACACGGACGCCAAAATACCACATTTACTCTAAGGAATTCTAAACTAATCCCATATGTACACTGTGGAGGGATGACTTGATAAAATGCAAACAATGTAAAACCCAATCTTCATAATTTAAAAATGTATGTATCATCTAAACAAGTGAACAAAAATAGTTTTACTTACGGCACACCCACAGTCTAATCATGGAAGATATAACAGTTAAATGAACGAAAAAAAATTAATATCTCGAATAACGATTACTTTTCACGGTTTACCAGAGAACTACAAACCTTGTCAACTAAAAGAGGTCGGGGAAAGGGAATAAACCCAAGATGAAATGGGGTGGGGTCAATGATCATTCATACCCGAGATAAGTTAAATTCGGTATCTTTAACCCAAAAAAAAAAAAAAAACACTTAAGCTAACCTAAGACAGGACTGAGCTAATATGAACTGATACTGATCTCCTCAAGTTTCATACAACATCCTTTTCCTAATCAATAATTAAAAGAAAAAAAAGGAATATTATTGGTGTGTGATTTTGTTGATCAGTTGTCCGTGGTCAGAAATCGAAATCCCGTAATTTCAAAACACGTCTTTATTCCCTATACCGAAGATTTCTTCACTGATTTCTCTTACGCCAGTTTGAGCTGAATAGACTAAATATAGGGAATAAATACATGCTATCAAATATATTTAGATTTACTTGCAATATTTAATAGCAGTGCAGCGCTCACCATGCTGAAACTGAATTAGTTTCCATTTCCATTTATCCAATGATTTGAATGATGGCCTCCATAGTTTGAAATACACATAATGCGTGCGAATTTTCAAAATGTGAAAAGATAAAGATAAGTTACCAAAATAACAGTCTAATGGTGTATAGTTTAGCTTGAAAATAAACTAACCCCGAGATATGTTCGAGACTACACTAAAGGATTTTTTAATTGGAAAATAAACTACGACTGTTACCTTTTGGAACCGACTCCCCATTGGATGCATCCACGATCACTTCAATCTGTTCAAGTCGTTATTTTCTCATAAATTGTGCCTTTTACTCAGTAAACCTCTACATCGCGTGGGTCTTGAGCCATGAGCATGTACACAAAAAAATAGTAATAAGGTTTGCATGTTTCTAAAAAGGAACTAAGCTTTTTCAATTAATACAGATTTTGGGGTAAAAATAAGCAGATTGTTCTAGAGCAGTGTTTTGCAACCGGTGTGCCGCGGCACCATAGTATGCCGCGTAACCATGGTATTCCGCGGCACCCTGGTATGCCGCGTAACCCTCGTATTTCGCGGCACCCTGGTATGCCGCGTAACCCTCGAATTTCGCAGCACCCTGGTATGCCACGTTACACCGGTATACCGCCAGCGACAAGTTTTGGGATAGATAGAAAAAAAGACAGTATTTACTAAGAGCTACAAACACCAGGAAATTGTGAAGAGCTATGATCAGCAACATTCTGGAGGGACAAAACATATGGGAGAAGAAGAAGCGTACCTCATACCCCAGGAATACAATAGCTTAACCTAGAATAACCACGGGCTGCAGTTACAATTTACCGAGAAACGTTGTAAATATCATTAATTAAATTCTTTTTGAAAGAAATCCAAAGCACAATAAGTCTACAAAAACAACCCCTTAAATGGAATATACCAGTTTGTTATAATGAATAAACGTATACATAATATATAAAGTGTGTGGGGGATGAGGAAAGAGGTTGCGAGACAAGTCCATAGATAGTGCGATTTAATAAGGACTTGCTGATAAATCACGATATATGACGAAATGATACAAGGTTGATTTCAGCAATGTCTCAGCAATACCCTATTTTGCACGTATTGAAATGTACCGGAAGTAGTGAGGACGCTATGACACCATTTTGTTTATCCCTTAAGGCCGAATTTCCAAATATTACAAAAAGAAAAAAAAATAGAAATACTATTCCGTTCGCAGCATCATATTTGCGTGAAGCAAGCTTTTCTGCAATAAACAATATTAAACAAAAAAAAAAATCGATGATGGGAGATATATAAGTATACTGTTCCAAAATCCAAAATCATGGAAGATGTATATCGGTCCAAAATTCAACATTACAAAGGAGATATTCTAAAATTAGTCAACGTTACATATCTTATTAAAAGCGAAATTACAATAAGCAGAAATAAATAAATAAATATAATTTTTTTCTCTATTTTAATTATTATCTTTTTATTACAAATTATATTAAATTGTTTTGTTTGTGTTAATAAATTATAAAGTATACTCTTTTCTTAATCTTTTTTTATCATCATCATCATCATTTAAGTGTGAATAATTTTACAGGAACCATTGTTTCATCATGACGTGGTAGTAAATTTTATGCTAATAGATTTTTTACCGTTTCAGATTAAACTAAACTGATATCAAATTTAAGAGAGAGGAAAGGTAAACATTTATTGAACTATTGTTACATTTTGAAATGTGGCTGTTGATAATACCTCTTATGATGTTTTTCAGTTGTCATAATGTCGAAAGTGTAATCGACAAAGAATTAAAATCTCTATAAAAGGCAGGATGTGTGGGGGGGGTAACAAATGCACGGCCGCAATTTTCGACGGATTTGCACCAAAATTGACATGCACATGTTAGCGAGAAGGCCAAGACCGACGTTGCATTTCCTAACTTCCATCGATAGTGGAAATAATCGAGTTTTTCATGCTTCTACGGCAGTTTTCATGTAGTTTGCGGCCATTTTCTACTGGCCAGAGTGAGAGCCTATAGCTGGCTGCCACGAAAGATTCTATTGGCCAGCGTGAGAGTCAACAGCTGACTGACACGAATGTTAACTAGCATGCTCGCATCCAAAAAAATCGATAGCTGCATTCGTCACAAGTGGGAAAAATTTAAATCTGCATGGCACTTTACTCCAATTGTCACATTCGCTTGATTAAACCTCGACTTTGTTTCTGATTCCGCAGAACTAGGTTGAGTGTGAAAAAGTATTTGTTGTTAACATTCTTTTTTCATTCGGTTTTTCCAGTTTCGAATCCTTTTTTTAAAGCTGATCGTTTTGTGTTCATTATTTTTAGTTCTTTTTTCGTAACAGATTTAATGTTTAGTATAGAGCTTAGAAATAATTCGCAGTGTGAGATAGGCAAGAAGTAAGGCATGTAGCAACATCAAGAGCACTCCTTTAAAGGCAAGGTAAGGTAAAAATATTTTAAGTCAAGTGATAGCGATTGCTGTATGAGTCGTACGATTTTTGAATCAAGCACGGGCAACGCCGGGCCATGCTGCTAGTGAAAATATAAGTGGGTCAGATGTTCCAGATGTAAACATTTACGACGACAAATGTAGAGGTCGAATCGAAAACACTTCCTCGCAGCGTTATTGAGGTTGAAGAGAGAGAGACACATGAAAGGAGAAAAAAAATCAAACGAAAAATCACGAGCAAAGAAAAGATTTTGTCATAGGCTGAACGAAGAGGGAAAAAAAGAAACATTTATATTGACCAGCAGTTTTTGAAGTGGTACAAGCAGACAGTTCGTGAGCCGAGACCAACGGAATAAACGGGTAAGTGGCAGAGAGGAGATGACGAGAAAAACACTTAGAATATACAACAGATATACAACTAGACATCAATGTTGTAGATCAGATCGATCAATCAACTTCATCATTTAGTCTTCACACTTAAAGATGGAAAGCATATATCCACCCCTCTGGTTAAAGCCATAGAAATATTGGGAAATGATGCTCTCCCGGTGGAACGTCACAGATTGTACCGGCCGCCCATAATTATTCTACGTTAAGCTATTGTATACCTGAGGTATAAGATACGTTTCTTCTTCTTCTTCTTCTTCTTCTTCTTCTTCTTCTTCTTCTTCTTCTTCTATGTGTTTTCTCCTTAAAGAACGCTGCTGATTAAGGCTCTTCACAATTTCCTGGTGTTTGTAGCTCTTAGTAAAAATAGTCCTTTTTTCTATCTATCCCAATCCTTGTTCTCTCAAATATTTACACAAGCTGGTCAGCTAGGTTATATATTAATTTCTTTTTTCCTTCTCGTATTCATTATGCCCTGTGAGTGTAAAATTTTCCGAGCATTCTTTCCACATTATGTGCCCTAGAAATATCAGTTGATTTTATCTGATGCAACGCGTAGGTTTATTTTTCATTTTTATTTTCTGTAAAACTTCGTCGGTGTTCATTGGCCAGTCGATGTTATTCTCAGCCTCCTACTGCAGAGCCATATTTCTGTTACCTCAAGTCTCACCTGTGGAGATTCTCCAACAGATGGACCGATATTATATAACAGTTCAGTGACTTAAGCCATTTTATACTCTCGGATATAAAATGGGATACGTACACCAGAGGCCAGAATATACACACTCCTTTTCGTATGTAATAAGATACATATTCATGTAACCACAGATGCATTTAGGCAATTCTGTAGATGAAACAGTTTCAAGCATCCACGATGATTTCTTGCTTGTTTTCCGATTCATAGTTTGCCGCATCAATCGGCTTTACTTTTGGATGTCTATTGAATTCGAATAAATCATTAATGATTGGTTTTGGTTATTGACTAATGTTGTTTTGCGAATGCAGTGCTTCAGGTCACAGGTTTGTATATTCTGAAGCAAAGTTTTTCGACCATTGTTTTGGTTCAATTTACGCGGCACGCTAAAATGAAGATGATCAAAAAAGATAAAAAAAAAAAAAGAGTTTACTTTATAATCTATTTATTAACACAAACAAAACAATTTAATATAATTTGTAATAAAAAGATAATAATTAAAATAAAGAAAAAATTATATTTATTTATTTTTTCTGTTTATTGTAATTTAGCATTTAATAAGATCCCTGACGTTGACTAATTTTAGAATATCTTCTTTGCAATGTTGAATTTTGCACCAATATACATCTTCTTCCATGATCTTTTTTTTTTTTTGTTTAATATTGTTTATTATAGAAAAACTTGCTTCACGCAAATATGATGCTGAGAACGGAATAGTATTTTTCTTTTTTTTTTTTTGTAATATTTGGAAATTTGGCCTTAAGGGATAAACAAAATGGTGTCATATCGTCCTCACTACTTCCGGTACATTTCAATACGTGCAAAATAGCGTATTGCTGAGTCTTTGCTGAAATCAACCTTGTGTGATTTCGTCATATATCGTGATTTATCAGCAAGTTCTTATTAAATCGCATATCTATGGACTTTCCTCATTCCCCCACACACTTTATGTATTATGTATACGTTTATTCATTATAACAAACTGGTATATTCAATTTAAGGGCTTTGTTTTGGTTCAATTTACGCGGCACGCTTAAATGATGATGATCAAAAAAGATTTTAAAAAAGAGTATACATTATAATTTATTTATTAACTCAAGCAAAACAATTTAATATAATGAACAGATAATAAGTAAAATAAAGAAAATCTTATAATTATTTATTTTTCTTTTTATTATAATTTAGCATTTTATGAGATATCTGACGTTGACGAATTTTAGAATATTTCCTTTGCAATGTTGAATTTTGGACGGATCTTCTTCCATGATCAATTTTTTTTTTTTTTGGTTAATATTTTTTTTGTAGAAAAAGCTTGCTTCACGCAAATATGATGCTGAGAATGGAATAGTATTTCTATTTTGTTTCTAATATTTGGAAATTCGGACTTAAGTGATAAATAAAATGGCGTCATATCGTCTTCACTACTTCCGGTACATTTCAGTTGTAACATTGATCCAAATTAGTAACTAGGGGTGTGACCGCTTGGGAATGGCTGGTGCTGTAAGCTTTGATGTGCGGGTGGTGTAATGCATAATATCTCGGGATTGGAAATTGGAGAGCTGATTTCCAATTCCAGTTGGGTCCGTTATATTCACTCACGTGAAAAATTATTTGTAAAGGTATGAATCCGCCTCTTCTAGCCCCAACTATTAATTAGTAAGACTTGGCCATCAATAAGCTCTTGTAAAGGTAAAGTCTAACAGAGAAGTCATCAATACAATGAATCAACCATTTTTTCATCATCTTCAGTAGTAGATCGAACTGAGATCTGGGAAGATCTCGAGTCTCCATAAGTCTTCAAGGTAAGGTGCCACCTTGAGATAACTCCCATCCATCATAATTGGTGAAAATTCGGGGTATACTTGATGGTATTGGAATTTTACTAGTTTGGTTTTGAGAAATATAGGATTTGATAAAAACTCGGTTTCGACTCTTTCAAGAATTTATTTCAAACTGTAAAATATTGGAATTATCCGCTTTTCATGCAAAATATTTATAGATCCCAATCAGGGGAAATAACTCTTCAGGGTATATTAATTGACCTAACGATCTTGTTGAGTGTCTGGCTTGAATGAGCTTGCTGTCAAGTTGGCCTAAATGTATAAATGAGGTATTCCTAAATCTCTTTGAGGCAGAATAATGAATGTTCAGTCTCTAAACTGATAACAGTTTTTAGCAAAAACAAAATTGTAATATGAGTGTAACTTAACGGCTATGGGCACGGTAATTGAAATCGGTAGGACGAGTTCAATTCCTGTCTTATCTTTTTGCACTCACTCTCGCACTTGAGAAAGGCATGAACCTATATTCTCATATTCAAAGCACCTACCGACGAAGTAGCAGGGTATACTTGTCTCTATATCCTTGCGTGTCAGCAAGAGAAGGAACATCTTTGAATTCCAAGAACGTGTCGCAGACAATGGGAATCCAATTTCACTTAATTTCTAAGAAGTTATAAAAAAGAGACATATAATAAAAGAAAGGATCCTGTAGAGAGCCATGATCCCCTACGTCTGGATGGAAAATAGCATTTAAAACAGTCTGACATATTTGAAAAATTGTTTTTTACTTACATTAACAAAATTGAGAATATTTAACAGTAATACGTACATTTCATATTACATGCTTATCAATTACCAAATTTCACGGCATATAAGACGTCCGGGTGTATAAGACGATCCGCAATTTCAGTAGTGCAAATCAAGAAAAAAATAGGAATTAGTGAAATTGGAAAACGTACAAATGGCATATAAGACGCAGAGGAATTTTAAAAGATACTTTTAATACAAAAACGTGCGCATTATATGCCGTCAAATACGGTAAGTTTTATTTTTCAACAACAGTATGAATCCATTTATTTCCCCCTCTGCTATGGGCTGAATAGCAGGCAAGACTGGGTTATTTGGCCTTGGTTGGCAACCAGTCTACCGTAGAAAGAAATGGCACCCTACTGCGGGAAAAATTTTCTGCCTCGTCAGTCATGGATCGAAAGATACACGATCGCTCAAGCGTGTATCATGTGGGCATTTATCTGACTGACTTTCCAACAAACATGTAAAAGACAAAATCACAATTAAAGAATAACAATGGTTTCTCAAAATCTTTTTTCTGGCATCAATACTCAGTTGTGTTCTTTTCGTCAATGGTTAATAATAAGTCCATTTTTTTGCAAATATTGACGAGTAGCGAAATAGCTGAACAATCATTTCATTTAATGGCAGGCTTACATCTTGCAAGCCACTAAAATTAAATGTATCTCCCCTTTAAACATGTCATTTTTTTATAAAATGCATATATCTATACTATTTACATTATTCGGACTATTGTCCTCGTTTTTTGTCGCCATATTAATTACAAGGTTTCAGCCGTTTTACGCTCCGGCCTTCTTCAGGTGGTTGGAATGTCGAACTGAACACTTTATTTCGCTCACTGTGGTAGACTGTTCTAGTACCACGTGCCATGTTTAATGGATGTGGAGAACGTGGAGAGAGGAATTAACAAGAGATAACTGATAACTGACACCCACAGTGAATGAAATAAAGGGTTCAGTTCGACATCCCAACCAACCGAAGAAGGCCGGAGCGTACAACAGCCGAAACGTTGTAATAAATATGGCGATAAAGATGAGAACAATAGTTCGAATAATGTAAATAATGTACATAATACCTCATCTCAGAAATATAGACAGACGCATATATCTATATAAATAATAACAGAATAAGGTCAGTTCATAAAACTAGAATACAAAATAATTGACTTAAGAGACGGGTGTTTGTTTTGTTATTCTTGTTTCGTCTTTTTTGAAAGAAGAATTGAATCTACGCATGCGCTGTGCGGGTATTGCTTTACAAGTATAAAAGACGGGAATAGCGGGTTTAATCAGCGCGATCGACGGTCCCGGGAAGGCAAATCAATTTAACTGGGTCGTTAATGATTATAATTTAATTATAAAACAACGTTATCTGTGAGTTCTGGAAGTTGCGTCTTCATTTTTCTGAAGATCTGCGTGTCTTTGCAGAAAGATTACTTTTCAAGCGATTATTTAAATCGCTTGTTTTACGCTCAAGATCAAAGAAACAAAGACAAAAAGCAAAATCTGATTGAGATAACAACTTAAAGGTTTATCTCTAAACAGCGACATTGAGAACATCTTTCGCAGAGACTTCTTCTTAAAAGTGTGGGTGTCCACACATTCAAATATATTAAGT